TCCAGGTTGTTCAACAGGTTGTCATGCACGTTCATTTTGAGAACGGACGGACATTCAATCAATCAGGTGAAGAAGACGATTGGACAGACAGAGAAAATTAGTTTGAGAAAATACCAAATGTTTTATACAGTGGACAGAAAAATGACAATTCAGGAAGGCTCTTGACTATACAGTATTTGTAACAAATTATCTGCATAATACACACATTATTCCAGTGTATTTATGTTCTTTCTGATATATTTGTTTTGGAATTTTTCTATGAGATGATTTTTTATAAAAAATTTTATTCAATATATTATACATTTAATGGAATAGTATATAAACGACATATTATATGTCGTTTGTTCAAATGTCTATTAGAACTTGTGAACAATTTGAAAATTATAGATCATGTCAACCTTCAAAATTGGCTTGTTAGTTAAGGTACAAAATCTACTGATTATATAAAGTGCAATAATGCAAGAGATCATCGACCTGGAATGCTGTATTTCATAACACATTGAACTACATATTGATGTTAAGAAGAAACTGGAAATATAATAATTCCGATTAATCGGAAAAAGGTCAAAACAGTTTGTGCAAAGTTGGAACATATGGATCTCCAACATCATATATATATATATATATATATATATATAGAATCCAATCTGTGTACATGTGAATTAGAATAAACTTGACTTTTTTATTGTCGTTGTTGATAATCAATGGTGTTCGTGTGTAATATCAATGTTGAAAAAAGTTCACAACACTTGGTGATGGTGAATCAAAACAACAATAGGAGAGAACTACTCGGAGTTGGATGAAGGATTTTGTTTGATTTATTGGAGTATGATGAATTGAAAGTAAAAATTGAAACCACATATCAAATTTAGAAAATGTATAGTCTTATTCTCAAAATACATCAAGATCATTTATTTAATCCCTTATAGTATATATGTAAGTTGTTTTATCTAGATGTTAGATTATACTCTTAGATTTACAAAACTATAGTATGGCCATGTCAAAAATGTTGCATGAGTGAGCTGAATCTCATTTGCTATAGATAACGTCGATCTACACATCGGCATATAGACGCTTGCCGAATGCACAAAACTTTGATTTACGTAGAATGATGAAGACAACAATTCATGAAAAAATTCATCCAATATCCAAAACTTCTTTGATGCAATGTAGTGGACGAAATTCGTCGATTGAACCCATGTGGAACTCAAAACATTTGTTGAGATCCAACTCTATTAATTTTATCCGACGGATCTTCACAAATACCCTCCTGTAGCATCCATATTTCATTACGAACTATGGATTAGATTCAATTCACTATAGGTACCGGATACGAGTGGACGGCCTGTAACTAAGAGTAGAACATAGCTCCGTGCAACGGAGCTCTTGAAAAGACCACAAATTACAAAGAGTTCAAAACTTTCACCAACTGTACATCCACCAAGGCCATTTCTTGAAAATCAAAGAGCTCTTGAAATAAAGTTTGTGGTTAAAGTGGCGATTTCACAATTTTGGTAGTTGCAACGAGCTCTACCAAGGATCAAAATGACAATGCATAACAAGGGGAGGCAAAAAACTCAAACTGAATTTTAGTTTATCAATTTTGTGCATGACAATTTTATTGTCATTATGGTTGAAATACTTACGTACGATAAAGTCAGTTCCTCCCTCCATAGTATAGTCTTCAACTATCGGATTACAAGATTTCGTACTGGAACATGGATGGCACTAAGTTCACGGTTGTCAACTTAGTGCCATCGTGAGATTGGATAGGATAAAATGAATTGTGTCGGTCCCAACAACTTTTGCGTTCAGCAAGTACCATCAGGTTTTTCTTTTTAATGTGATAATAATGTTTTAGTTTTTGAGAAAAAACCAAGCTTTGTGAAGAAAGCTTGCTTTTATACAGCGGCTGAACTCATAAATTATGATATTTGAAAGCAAAGATTCCTAATCGAACAAAATGTCTCTCGAGTGTAACCTTGTTACGGAAATGAATCAGTACGCAACAATTTATTCGTAAGAGTATCACACCTTTGTGTTAACCTTCAAAGACAAGGATAAACTAAACTGTAAACTGCAAGATCTAGGTAGAAACCTCTTACATGCCAAGAAAATTTTGCTTGTTTGTTGCTACACACGAGACTAATGCTTACAACGCATGCTTCTATATAAGAAACGAGATTACAAAAATAAAAAATATAATGCTTCTATATTAAAAATTGCGAAACGGAGGAAGAATCAATCTGCTACCTCTGTTCCAATCTCAAACTTCTTCAAAAGCACTCATCTGATTGATAACTTAAGAAGAGCTTGTTCGGGGCTTGATGGGGTCTTCTCATCTTCTTGTTATTTACTTGGAAAATCTCTCATTTAACGTGTGTGGTTTCCTTTTTTCGTGTCTCTTCAACTATCTAGAATGGCTGTTCATTGGTGGCTGGGTTTAGCTCATCTATATAAACTCGGAGCAAAAAATTAACCATGATGCTTGTTTGTTTCTAAGTGAGGATGAACAACTAAATTCCAAAAAAAGGGAGTCACTAGATTACAAGTTTTTGCCAGGGCACACAAGCGTTCTTGTTTTCGAATGACCCTTAAACTTCGAAAACTCAACTGACTTCATGACGACCGTGCGCTGTTAGAACAGGGCTTCGATGAAGCAGTAGACTACAAGGAGAAAGATACCTTGCGAGAGGAAGTTGACTAGTCAAACTAGCTTTTGTTACGAGACTTTCCTATGAGTGTGGAAAAAGAAGAAGGAATCTGGATCGATCAATCGAGGTTTATTTTCCATATCCACTATTCCTTGACAGGCTCTACTGCCCTGGTAAACTCAAGAGATTGATTAAACAACCCCTGTAGCCCACAGTGCAGAAAATTCTCACTCGAGATTACTAAAATGTCAAGATTAATAGGGTCCCAGTGTAAATCGAGCGATCAGAGACATCCCTCGTCTCCCTCTCGTTTGGTGTTATGATTCTCCAACGACTGACCGAATCGATGTAAGAAAACACCACCACAATTCCATTCATTACAAACACCGTTACAAAATCGAATGTACTTATTTGCCGGTGGATAGGCATTATCATCTCATTCCACATTATGTCATGATACAATCGAGTTCTGTATACGCCTACCGTTGAAAGGGTAGAATCATTGTAGCAAAAAATTGTCTCGTCAAATTATGAAACTAGGAGGAATAGATCCCTGTAGTAACACAACGAGAAACATGCTATGCTGCCAAAATTAAGAGCACTAGAAAAATGATTTCTCTATTCTAGATAACAATAACGTGTGATATTTGTAAACTCATACATCACATTCCATATACTGCTATATAAAATAAGATGAAGAGAGTGGCACTCGATAGCTTTTAGCGCAACTTTTCATGAACATGTCAAAGTCTATATCTCCATATGATTGAAAAGACCGAGAAATAAAGAAATGCTTTACGTTTATCTATATTATTATTCTAAAAAACCTTAGCTGACGTTCCACAAATCGGTTCATCACATAAAATGAGAAATTAATCCCTGTAAATCTGTATCATGCATATGATAACGATCATAAACGATCGCGATTGATAACAATCATGTACCAAACAATAACCTGATCATCCCAAATCAAACACAGATGTGAAGCAACTAACTAGTTTGCAAACCATTGTTCATAGCCACGCACACTAGAAGGTACTTGATCCAATGATGCCACCGGATACAACCAATATGCTCATGCCACATAAAGTCAAGCCTGATAAGAATGCAAGAGTAAAAATTTATCATGATTGCATACTAGATCAATGTTGTCACGGTCTGTTGCTCGTATGGCCATCGGAAACGTTGGAAGGTTTACCGCATAGAGCAACGAAGTTTGAAGCGGGGATGCGGTCAGTTTACCATTTGCTAGCAATTAAAGCTACGAGACAACACGATCGTCGGTATATGGAGTGTACGTTCGTCGTAGTAGTACCGGGGATGTGAAAATCAGAATACGGCGAGGTGTTTGGAGGCGCAAGAAGGAAGGCCCAGGAGACAAATGGAACAAAAGGGGCCAGAAAAGGGACTGCATCCACGGTCCGAGCGTCGCGGCCCGCCACCCCCCGCACGCAAGGGAGGACTGAAACACGCGAGCCGGGTGGCAGAAGTCCGAGGCCGGCCGCGCAAATCTCCGCCAAGGCTCATGAGAGGCGATGGCCGGAAGCGGCCGATGGGAAATGTGGGATCCACGGAAACATCGGTGGGAAAATTCGCAAGGGGGGCGAAAATTGACCTCGGGCGAAGGCTGGCCCGGGCCCGTTCGAGAGCCAAAAGTCTTCGAGAGGAGAAATGCGGAACAACGGTAAAAAGGCGAGCCATGGGAAGTGTGAAGGCGAAGAAAGGCCCGGGCGGGCCCACCGGGCCGGGCCGTAAACGTGATTAGACCCGGCGCCGAGAGGAGATGGAGCGGGACGAGCCGTCGGATGCGGATGTAGAATACGATGCTGGACCGGGGGCACCCACTGATTTTCCTCAATAATTGTTGGCGCTGGTAAATGGGCTGCGGTAAAGGAGGGTGGTTGGGTGGGGAGAATGTGGAGTGGCTGGCTGGTAAATGGGGTCGAGCCCTCAGAGGAGGAGGAGGAGGAGCAGAAGAAGCAGTGAGGGAAAGGCCCCAAGCGTGCTTTGCTGCCATAGCCATGGCCAGGACGAGCTGGTGGGGAGGAGGGAGGCTGTCTCGATCGCCGAATGAATTGGGCCTGCGCGAGGGTAGGCAGAAATGACAGCAGCATCCGCAGGAGGTCCCAGCAGCGAAGAAGATGAGAGTAGAGATCGAGGCTCGTCGTCGTTGGCACAGAACCGACCAGAAGCCGAGAAGAAGCGAGGGTTAGCTTTTCCCGCTCGTCCCGCCGGATGTGGCATGTCTGACCTGACCTGAACTGAGCTCCTCTGAGATGGAGAGGTAGAGACGGACCCCGAGAGAGGGAGAGAGTGAGAGTGAGAGTGGTAGGGGGTGGGGGGGAGGGAGTGAGAGTGGAGTAAGTGTGACATTTGCTGTGGAATAGCATAGCATGAGCGACAGGCCGAGAGCGGTAGACTGGGCGAGCCAGAGGGGAGAGACACGTGAAATATTTTCGGCTTACGTGATTGAGGTTGACAAGTTCGTAGATGAGGGCCTGGGCTGGAAGGGTCTGCATCATTTGGTCTTGTACTGCCGGTAGTTTCTGAAGACAGGACGGTCGCCGAGGTTGCTGTCATCGGTTCGCCTTTAACTGCGTGATCCATTGTGGAAGGGTCTGAGGGCGACACTTCAGGCCTGTACGGGGAGCGCGAGTTTGGTGCGTAGATTGTCGCTGACAGGCACAGAGGACAAATTATCGCAAGTCGTTAGGATCGAACCCGGGGTAATGACTGACTTTCTACCTGCGGCTGTATAGACCTTCGAATGGATGACTTAAAAAAATTATTGGGGGGATAGATGCACTATCTCAAGGGGCTTGTGATCTAGGGTTTGGCGACTGTGCACTTGCAGGGGTCAATTTTAAGTGAAATTAGTTGGAATCAGTGCCTTCTCTGGGGTTTCATCAGAACACCTCCCGCATGTGATCAGGTCGCCGGATGATCACGTGAACCTCAGCATTTTCTTATCATGTCGGAGTTCTTTTAGGGTTTTTTCAGTCCACTTCACGCATTTCTATACTCCCTACACTTTGATTTGCTCGCAGCTGGAAATCCCATTACTGCTTCTATATAATTTTACCTTCTATTATGAGCTATTCAAAGAATCGTCTTTTTTTTGCAAGTGATTGAAGGGATGACTGTACATTTTTGGGGTCCAAAAGCTTTCAACTTTTTGAGTCAACTTTTGTGCCCAATTTCACTGATTTGTGTCGTGGACCCCTCATTCCAAGAAGTGCAAATTGAATGCACTGTCTCGCTCTGTCTGAAAACGAACAGAAAATCGTCGGACTGAGCTGTCTGAATTGTCACAGGTTGCTCTGCTCTTATTTCATGGGACCTATCCTCTTGTCACGGAGTATCCTTGGCGAAAGAACTTCTGTGTGAGACGAGGAGAAGGGCGGAGGGTAGCTGCAAAGAGTCTCTGGGATTCGCAATCCGGGACGTATGGATAATTATGGGCAGGATTATTTCATGTCGCAGGAAGGATACGCGTCCATCGACTTCACTCTTCTAGACAGACCCAGCAGCACGTAAGTATCACAGGTTATGTAAACAGCACAATGCAACTAAACAAAGATTGAGAACATTCTCAGTCCCATGAAGCTTCCCTGATAAATATGCCACTAATTAACGCTCTGCTTAATAAAGATTGTCAGATTGTCATCTACGTCAAATGTTTAATTTTGTGTTTCTGTGTATTTTGTATTTTTGGTCTTGACCAGTATCGCCTCAGCTCCAGAATCTACTGCGGCTTTGCTTCCAGGTATGTTAACCATCTCATCTTTCCTCCTTGAAGTCACTTTTGACTCAACGGTAATCACAAGAGCTTTGAACTCACCCAGCTGTGATATTCCAGCTCAATGTAAGTGTTTACCAAAGGGACTATGCGCATTATTTTCCATGGATCTAAATCTCTTACAACCAACAGATATGTTTGTACTAGGAGGTCTTTTAAGTATTGACATGGTTGGAATTTATTACGTTAATCTGAGGGGATTTTATACAAATTAATAAACGGCGAGGCCTGTTAGTCGGGTGGATTCCTTGTCAAAATGGATCACTCTAATTTCCCATTATTAATGGGCTAGACGATCATATGCTATTTCTGTAACTTACTCTAGCACATTCATCGAGTACTGGTTCTCGTGGGCTTACTAGCTACAGTGTGTTGTTTTATTAATTTTTCCCCTAATATGCTCATGCCTTTCGAAAGGAAGCTCACATTGGAGCTCATATCTGTCCTACCAGATTTGCACGTAGCAGATTCGTCATTTTCATCTTTCGACTTTTTGGATGGGTCTGGAGTCGATGCCTTTGGTGGAGTCCTTCGCGAGGCCGATGAAGCTCATTCTCGTGATCAAGGAAGGTGTGCATACACATGTTTAGTATTTGTCTCATATCTATTCTCGTCTAATCTCTGAGCGTCGTTGTTAGTAGTTTCTGGTTGTTTATGTACATTCTGTGTCAGCTATTGAAGTTTTATTTCAGTTTGACAACGAGTATGTATATGTATTGAATCATTTCTATTGCTTTGTAGTTACCGGTCCGAATTGCAGAAGTACAAGAAAGATCAACGATCACTCCATCATAATTCAGTGACTCTTCACCGAGCGGTGAGATCTAGTGCCTTGTATGTCGGTGTACAAGTGTAATGTAGGCATTTTAGTCGATAACTCTCCTTGTGACGATCGTACTTAAAAAAACTCCATAGCTTCAAGAGGAACCGCCTAAAATGCTTCGTCAAGTTAGCTTTGTAGGTCATCATCGGCATCTCTATGATGATAGTTGAAACTACAGTCGGAAGTTTTCTTAGTGTACAACTTTGTAAGCGTTTCTCTTCCAGATATTTGGACCTTGATCATGCGGTAAATGTTTGCTAAGTATCTACGTTATGAACCCATATGGCCTTACTATCGATTATCAAACTTACTCACAGGATGGCGACCCCGAGTCAGAGCTACCATCAGCAGATTTTCAGATGCCTTTCGAAGTTCAAAAACCTATGGACTTTTTTTCCCAAGGTCATACGAAGGAGTCTGCTCATGGAGATCAACAAACTCAATCCCCTGGAACTGATGCGGCCGATGGGAATCATGACTATTTCGAGCACAACCAGATTACCCAGCAAGGAGCTTCAGGAGGTGGTGGAACAGGTGGATGGTACCCTTCTTGGACGGCTGATAATAATCAGGGAGACCAGACTCAGCACTTCTTCCAGACTCCTTACAACAACGAAGCTACAGATGAGAGAAGAATGCTTCATATGAAGGGTAGTACTTCGCAGATGGCCTCTCAATTGGGCTATCATAGTGTTGCCACGCCGCAAGTGCCAAGTACCGAACCAACACCCAAGGCGATGCATGCTTTTCTGCCAACTGCCAAGCAGAACGACACTAGGCAAGCAGCTAATATGGCCCTCGGTCTGCCTAGCGCACAGTTGAACCCTAGTTCCTCGCCGGTCATCAAAAGTTTGCCTAGGAGCCAGCCTTTTGACTATGAAGGTTTGATGAATGGTGCCACTGTCGGACAGTTCCGCCAGAATGCGGCAGCTTCGGTAGAAGCCACCCCAGCTCGGCGGCAGCATAGTGGTGACGCGAATCTGGGAGGACAGGATGCTCTGCGTAGTCAGGTACCTAGTCAAAGCTTCAAATTTGGCGGTCAAAATTTAGGCACTTTGGCTTCCGGTGTCGATCCTTTGAAGGTTGGTGACTATGATTTTCTTGGAAGTCAACAATATCTTCAGAAAGGCCAAGCTCAAGGAGAGATGGGACAACAATTGGCCGTGGACGAAATGCAGGGATGGCATCAACACTCTCTGCTGACTCAGTCCAATCAACAGCAACCTTCGTATCAGCAGCACTCATACCCAGATTTAGCCAGACAGGAACTCTCAAGACAGCATCAGCAACAAGTAGAGCAACAACAGTCCCAGCACTCAAGGCAGCAACAACTTCAGCAGTTTTTAGCCATCAGCAATCAAAATCAAAGTCTGGGTAATCAGCTATCCGCTTTTCTGAGTGACAGCTCCTTGCAAGATATTCCTCGTGTGGTGCAGCCGGAGAGGCAAAATCCGCATATGACAGTTGAAAATAGTAGGTCGCTGCTTCAGCAAGCGAATTACCAGACCATGAATAACGCCACCAATCTCAACTGGTCTGCGGGTGAATCTTCGGCCATGCAAGGTCTTGCTCATGATTACCTTATGGGAGCTGACCAAAATTTCAATTGGCAAGCACTGGCTTTGAAAGCCTCTCCTCAAGTCGATCCATCACTTTACGGGTCTGTATCGGTAAATAGGAGAGATACCACCGGGCAGACTCTAAATCCGTATCCGGGCATGCAAGGAGGTCTGCAGGAGTACTATGGAGGGACTGGGAAACTTACAAGCGCTGCCGCACAGGTTGGTAAACCTGTTCCAAGAAGTGCAGGAGCCGGAAGTTCGATATATGGAAGTGAGTATCAATCCGAAGTTTATGATGCTGCCAACTTGCAAACTCCCGCTCATAGTAGCAAGCACCAGGCTCTAGGAAAAATGCCTTTTTGGCAAAATCCGTATCCGCAATCTGGAGAGCAATCTCGTACCGGCGTCAATTTGAACCAAACCAACCTTCCACCCAGGAGTCCCCAAGTGCCATCGAACGCCCAAGCAAGACAGCAAAGGAATTGGAGTGGTCATGCGGGCCAACAAGACGGTCTTCAAGCTGGGATGTTATCCGCCGATGCCTTGAAGCAAAGCATGATTGCGACAGGAATGCAACCCAGTCATCAAGCTGCAAGTCAGGCAGCAAATCCTCGGCAATCTGCAAGAAGTCAGGCTATCGAGGCTACTCAGTTCATACAGCAGCATGGGTCGCAAGCTGCATCAAGTTCTCAGTTTCTCAATGCTTTGGGTACTAAGCAACAAGCTGGGTGGAACAGGCATGCACTACAACAAACTGTTACTCAAACAGGAGTATCAACTGAAGCCGCACAAAACATGGAAGGCATCCAGAAAAATAATTGGAGTGGTCTTAATATACAGCAGGCGAATTCGGAATCGCAGTCTTTGTCGAGCCTCAAACAGCAGAACATATGGAGTGGACATAGTGCGCAGCAAAGTCGGCCTGCTGCGAGCTCACTTCATCTTTTCACTGATCTCGACGGGAGACGTAGCAGCATGCAAGGCAGCCATGAATTACAGCAGGGCAGTGCGCAGCCTGCAGGTACGCAACAAACAACAAAGTTTGATGTTAACCAGCAGAGTCATAGTATTCAGTCTGCTAATGTTCAGGTGAGTGACCCACCAAATGCAATTGCCGACATGAATGCCAGGCAGCAAAGTGGTTGGAGGGATCACAGTCTCTTGCAGGGAACTGCTCAAGCGGGTAATTCACTGTCGGCTTATAGTGATCTGGACAAAACCTCTAGTTGGAGAAATATATGGCAAAATGCCCCGGCTGCTGCTGGTTCTTCACAGATGATTGAAATGGACACAAGGCAGCAAAGCGCTGGATGGGGTAATAATATGCAGCAAACCAACTCACAAGCTGCGGACTCACAGGTAGCGAGCATCAACTCGAGAGACCAGAGTGGTTGGAGTGGTCATGATGTCCAGCAAGGAAGCCCGCAAACTAATCAGTTGCTTTCAAGTCTAGACAGCCAACATCCAGGAAGTCACGTTCCTCATAGTGTGGATGGGAGGCTTCAAAGCGGACAATCTGGTCATATGCTTCATGAAGAGCCTGCACGAACGAAGCCATCAGCGGAAGTTGATGGCAGGCTCAAAGGGAGCAGTAGTCCTTACCATCTTCAGTCGCAGGTTGCAGTGGCAGAGACCGATGCCCGACAGAAAGCGAGCCAAATGGCTTACAACTTGCCGGGTCAAACCGGGACCGAGGCTGAAGGTAGACTCAAGGGGAGTCAAAAGCTCTACAGTCTTCAATCTCAGGTAGCGATGGCAGAGACTGATGGGAGACAGAAAAGTGCCTACAGTCTCCAGTCGCAGGTTGGGACATCGGATACCGAGGCCAGACTTAAAGCTGGCCAAAACGCTTACACCTTGCAGTCTCAGTTGGGTGCAGCAGAGAAAGGTGGCCAAAATGCATATAATCTCCAAACTCAGATGGGATCTTCTGAGACTGACACGAGGCAGAAGAATAGTCAAAATGCATACAACTTGCAGGCAAGTGAGACAGACGCTCGGCTGAAAAGCAGTCAAAATGCGTACAACTTGCAGACACAAGCAGCAGTGCCAGATACAGATGGTAGGAGCAAAGGGAATGCGAACCCATATAACTTGCAGTCTCAAGTTGGAACTACTGAGTTAGAGCTACGGCATCAAAAGGGAGGTCAAAACTTATATACTTTGCAAACGAGTGCTGCTGCCGAAGTTGACGTCAGGCTGAAAGGGACTCAAAGCCCGTACAACCTTCAGTCTCAAAGTGTTGTTGCAGAAGTAGAAGTTAGGCACAAGGGGAGCCAAAGTTCTTATAACCTTCAGGCACAAAGTGTTGCGGCAGAAGCGGATGGCAGGCACAAGGGAAGCCAGAGCGCATACAATCTTCAGGCCCAAAGTTTAGCTGCCGAAGCAGATGCTAGGCACAAAGGAAGTCAAAATGCTTATAACTTACAGACTCAGGTTGGAACGTATCAGCAACCAAGTAACTTAGATGGAAGGCAGGCTAGAGTTCAAAGATCTCACAGTTCGCAAGGAACATCGCAGGCGGGTAACGCCATGTACATGTTTCCCACTGGTTCCAAGAGTCAGAACACTTCGAACAGTTTGCAGCAAACAAACCAAAGCAACTGGACCCCTTCCGGCAACAATGCCGAAAGTTGGCAAAAGAGCACTCTAGGAGCAGGTGGCCAGCAAGGTTTTCAGCAGGTCGGGTTACCTCAGGTCGAGTCTGTGGACACGAGACAGCAGAGCGGTAGCAACTCGCAGCTTGGGTCTCCTCAAAACGATAGCCACCTCCAACCAACATCAACCTCTAGGCCTCCCAGTCGATTGGGAAGAGCTAATCTTACTCCTCAAGACACTACCTTACCTGCAGTTATGGGGACGGGGACCAATTCTTCAGCTGCATCTCATTGGCAGACCCATGGCAGCACTTTTACTACTTCCAGTGCTTCTGCTAGTGATTTAGTGCCAAGTTGGTCTCGAGGACCGACTCGAAACGAGCCGGAGCTGCTAAATTTACGTGGAGAATCGAACAGCGGGACAGCTGCCGAGGCTCCATCAACGTGGTCTCGTGGTACAGTATTACCTGGTCGGAAGGAAGTAGACCAACTAAATTTGGGGGCGGATACTAGTGTCGCTGGCAATGATGCTTTACCTGCGTGGTCAAGGGGCCAAATGACTTCTTCTCGTAAGGATGACATTAATCTAGGTGGGGAAACCGTGAGTGCTGCAAGTGAGGTTCATCCGACTTGGACTCGTGGTCAAAGTACCCCTACACGGAAGGATATAGAGCAACTCAACCTTGGAGGAGACTCGCCACGTTCTGACAACGAGGTTTTGCCTTCTTGGTCACGGGGGCAAAGCGTGAACAGTCGCAAGGACTCAGAGCAGCTCAATCTCGGTGGAGATACCAGTAGCGGTGCGAATGAGGCAGCACCTACATGGTCGAGAGCGCAGGTTCCAGCTGGACGTCAAGAGTTAGAGCAACTCAACTTGGGTGCAGAGTCGAATACCGTCAGCGTGGAGGCGGTTACTACTTGGTCTCGAGGGCACAACACTTCGCGGAAAGACACTGATCAAATCAACCTTGGGGAGGATACGAACACAACCGTCAGTTCCATACAAAAGGTGCTCCTCAGGAACATCTTATAGTTCGTATTACCTCTACTTCAAAACGCGACTCATCGCTTTCTATGAAGTTTTTCAATTGTTCGCTGCATTTACAAATACGTGGGGATTTATGTGAATGGTCTGCAGGATTTATTAACAACCAGGCAGGAAGCCGATAAAAGGTCTCAAGAAGAAATGAGTTTTCTGGACGCTGCCACTGCAAGGGATTCGAACCCTATTCCTTCTCCTGCCCCTTCTCCTGATAGAAACATGTTCCCACCTAAGCAGAAGAGCCTAGTCAAAATCTCTCCTCTATCACGGTAATTTATCTTGCCTAGCAATAATTTCCTAGTCGGAATGTTGTTCCCTGTCGATGCTCACAACCCTTATCCTTTCCTTTTCTTAACGATTGTGTTCTTCCCATTTCTCATCCCTCTTCCATTGTTTTTTTTACGCGTCATTGTTCAAATGGAGTAAGATCAATTTCGACTGCGAATTTGTTCTCTTCTTTGACGAGCTCCACATCTCTTAGTGTCTAACGGTGATATCTTTAGAAGATTATGGATGGTTCAGATGTCATGTTTATTTTCCCGGTTCAAGATTTTGTGTATATATCCTTTTGTCTGTAAGCATACTTTGAACCGAATGCTTACCGTCCTTTGAATTAGACTTTGGTTGTTTCGTTGTAGCCGAGAATTGAGCTTTTCACATATAGTTTTAGTCAACTACACCTCGAAAGAAAGTTATCTTGCTTTGTTTTCGTCACGTTGTAATAGAATTTTAAGTCCAAACATGTCTCTATAGCGCTTGTGTGTCGTTCACCTAGTCATAATTGGCTTGACGTTTTGTACACAGGAATACTCTCGAGCTTCTTAGTAAGCCCGAGGAACCAGATGAAAGCACTTCCATGAACGACGATGACGAAGAAGACGAAGATATGGATCATGAGGATAGTGGAGCCAACGCTTCAAGTATTTCGTTGGCTCATTTGCGACGAAATCAAGCATCTGGTCCATTATCACCTCAAGGGTTTGGGTTGCGTCTGGCCCCTCCATCTCATTTGACGCAAAACTCCCAGACAGGAGGTCTCTCTAGAGCCGGGAGCTCGCCATTTAACCAAGGACTGGATGTAACGCGGCCTGCAGCACCACCAAGCAAGGAGCAGCAATCGCCTTCCACGGTAGTCGCTGATCAGACCCATCGGTCAAATTCAAACGCGATGGGAATGACTGTGTCTTCTGAAGCCGTAACTTCAGCTCAAAAACCAGCCACAACCACTGCAACTGCATCCAGCAGTGGTGCCCTCTTTGATTCGTCGTTCTATCGAAGCAATGATCAACAGTCAGCTGACGCATTAAACCGTTCTTCGGATCACTTGGAAGGAACAGCGAGCCAGCCTTCAGCAGCAGCTGGTGCAAGCGTGAAGCCCGTTGCTGGTCGATCTTTCCTTGGGACAGCCCGTGGGGCAGAAACTCGCCAGTCTAGTGCTAGTATGATCAGTAATTTGTCTCAAGTTGTGGATGCGTCAAGCAGTAGAGCCGCGGAAGAAGTGCACGCCCCTAGTAGTTCATTTAGCTCGACTCCAACAAATGCACAAAGTCATTTCACCAGTGGTACTCCACAGAAGGGGCAACAATTCACAGCTAATCCGCCAGGATCGCAGTCTAGTCCACCGCAGACGGCTGCCTTCTCGAAATTGCTGTCGTCTTTCAAGGATTCTTTGGCTGGGCAGGGCAAGCAAGCACCTGGACAACAACAGCAGCAACAACCATCGCAGCAACAACCATCGCAGGAGAAAGGTAGTGCAGAAAGGGGTGTGGTAGGAATGCTTGAAGCATTTCGTCAGTCTCATGCCGCAGGCAAACTTCTTAATGGCATGCAGTCTTCACAGTGGGATCCATCTCAGATGTCTGCTTCCATGAAACAGGAGGTTATCAAGAGATTAGCCGCAGCTCATACCCAAGTCCAGAACAAGGTAAGTCAGCCTCCTCATATGCAGATGACTGCCAGTCAGGCTGGCCAAGTAACTACTGCTAGTAATTCAGGTCAAGCTCTCTCTTCTGCACAACCTGTTCCGGGGCATCCAGGGTCAGGTGGTCAGACTAATTCGGCCCAAACATACCACCAGGGATCGATTCACTCGGTTGAAGGAGGTAGCGCGGGCCAGGTTTATCATGGGCAAGTGCAAGGCCAGGTTCAGGTTCTTGGAGTGAAAGGATCATCTTCTGGGCAAAGTCATGCGCAGGGTCTAAATCTTTCAGGCCACACGGGGACCACAGAGCAACCTCAGGCAGGGCAAAAACACGTCCAAAGTTTTGGAGCGGGCGGACATATGAGCAATGTTGCCGGCCAATTGCACCCTCAGATGGCTAGTCAGGGCCTTGGTTCGTCAAGTGTGCAGATGATGTCAGGGCAGACACCTGCTTCCGGCCCCACCCAAGCTCTCCCTGGGCCAATGACTCCAGGGCAAACGATGTCAGGTCAAGTTGTTACTCCAGCGATGGCAAGTAAGCAAAATAAGGCACGCCAGCGTAGTAAATTTCTGTCAAAGTCAGGAGCAGGACCAGAATTCGAGCAGGGCAATATGCAGGAGTCTGACAGAATGTTCTTGTCGCAGCAGCCTTCGGTTCCATCAGCCGGACAAGCTGCATTGTTTCAATCTCAGCAAGCAGCTCGAGTCCAGAATAACCCCGTGCAGTCAACTTTTGGTCATGCTATGTCTCAAAAAGAAGGTTCGACGCGGTCTCAGGCTTCTCAGGAAGAGGTTCTTGCACCTGCAGAAGGTTTCAGCACACCTGCAGCTGCAGGAGAGGTTATGGTAGCTAAGGACGTCAGCACCCTTAGTAGCCAATTGTTCACTGAGAACGACAAATCTGCCATTTCCGAGGACGTTAATGGAAGTTCCAGCTTGCATTCTCGTAGCAGTCTAGACCAATTTGGATCTCGGCATGATAATCAAGGCAGTTCACTGCAGGCCGGAGCGCGAAAGGATAATCATAGCAATGTAGCGCAACATCCTGGCCGGCAAGAGAACCAAGGTAGTCTACAGCAACAGGCCTCGAGGCAGGAGGCAAAGAGCAATTCACAGCAACATGGAGTCAGACAAGATCACCAAAGCAGTCTGCAGCAACAAGGAGTCAGGCAAGACAGTCAAGGCAGCCTACAGCAACACGGAGTTAGGCAAGAAAACCAAGGCAGCCTACAACAGCAAACTGTGAGGCAAGATAGTCAAGGCAGCCTCCAGCAGCATGGAATCAGGCAAGATAACCAAGGCAACTTTCAACAAAGCGTGAGGCAAGAAAATCATGGGAACTTACAACAACTGCAGGGGATTAGGCAAGAGAATCAAGGTAGCATACAGCAGCATGTAGCTCGGCAAGACAGTCAAGGCAATGCTCAACAACTTGGAATCCGGCAAGATAACCATGGAAGTGTGCAACAGCAGTGGCAAAATCTGCAGTCGGTAGATCCTTCTATGTTGTCTGATTATCATTTCCAAAGGCTACTTGAGTCACAGCCGAGCATATGTGCTGCCCTCAATCAGTACAAGTCAGATCCTCGACTCTACCAGCTCGCTATATCACAACTTCGAGCGTCACTTGGCCATCAACACATGTCGAGGCAGATGGGTCAATTCCAGCAGCAGGGAAGAGATGAATCAGGATTAGCTGCCACCATGGGCAAGCCTTCCTCAGAGAATTCAGCTTCTGCTACGGTTGCTCAGGCAGCTCAATTACAGGCTGCTCAAATGCAGGCAGTTCAGGCAGCACAACTCCAAGCCGTGCAGGCCCAGGTTGCACACGCTGCTCAAGTCCAGGCAGCGCAGGCGGCTCAAGTTCATGCAGCGCAAGCGGCTCAAGCACAGGCTGCCCAGGCTGCCCAAGTGGCTCACGTAGCGCAAGCTGTCCAAGCTGCACAGGCTGCTCAGGTCGTACAAGCAGCGAAAGCTGTTCAGGCAGCCCAGGCCGTACAGGCAGCTCAGGCCGCACAAGCAGCTCAATCTGGCCAGCTTGTCCAAGCCGCGCAAGCAGCCCAAGCTGCCCAAGCCGTACAAGCTGCGCAAGCGGCTCAGGCTGCAATCATTAACAAGAACGCCAATACTGCTGCTCGACTACATTTTTTGAGTCAGCTTGCCCAGAGGGGCCACAGTGCCAACGGTCTCGCTCAGTGGTACTCTGGGATGGCTGGACGACCTGGGGGTCCTGCTGCTCTTTATGCATCAAGGATGGGAGATGGTAAGGGTCCAGGTGCCGCGACACTTGGTGTTCCAGTAGGTGCGGTGAACGAAAGGCCAGGAGTGGATCAGTTGGGTGTAAACAGGTATTACCAAAATGCAGGCGTAACACCCCCTCCTGCAAAGAAACGGAAGAAGGAGTATCCAACATTAATTCCCTGGCGTGAAGCTGTTTCTCAAGCAGCCGGTTACGTTTCTACCCCAAGGTGCGAAATCACTACGTCTAGCTTGAATGTTGTTTTTAGTTTCAAACTTTGGTTCTTGACACCTCATTCGCAGTGCAATATTAGTCCATACAGAGTTCAAATTTTTTTCGAGGAATATACTCTCAGAGGACAGGATTTGTTGACTGACTGTCTTCTATTTTTGATTTATTGATTGATTGACTATAATTGTTCGGTTGCTATACAACAGTGGTGCTGAGCTGGAGTGGGCAGCTGCAACAAACCGGATTCCCGACAAGGTGAGCTCTTCAGGGAGTTCAGTTGGAACAATCTGCTTGAACTGATATAATTAGACTGGTTAATCTAATCTTTCTTAAGAAACAGCTTATGCCAACCAACACTGTGGTAGGAGATTCCAAAAGATGGTAATCGCAGACGGTGGTTTTTGGAGGGCATGGACATATTGCTGGTCGTCATCGGATATATGTATTGTATAGAATGCGTCAGCTGAATTTCATTTTAGGTTTCGATTTTGCATTGACTTCGATCTATTAGCCTTGGTTTGGTTAAGATGTCAGGGAGTGTGGGTTCCGCATTTTCAAACCCATATCTGAGAAGACGCAGCATGTGAGATGTTTGTTTCGCATCTTCCGAGAGCGGGAGTAGAAACCTTATCACTTGTTGGTTATTAAAATACGGGGGCTTTGCAATGTTTTTTTCTCTACACATACGGAAGGCCACGGTACTATATCTCAGCAGGGCGCGGATATACTTCGCGCCTTGGTGACGTATAGTACCGTGGCCCTGAAAATATAAAAACCCTCAAATTTCTTTTAGTACAGTGACAACCTTTGATGCAATGTATGTGTTACAATAAACTCATAGCGAAGAGTCAGCACAGAGTAGAATCAATGGTTTAGTCAAGTTGGTGTGACTCATTATCCAAAGATTGAACTTCATTATTGGTACGCGTTAAGTGGTAAAGTGCTCTAGGGTCGTTTGTAGTGAATTGTGTTCTGTAATTTAACTTTTCCTTTGCCACTGGTCGTACGATAGTTGGATCTATTCTTGTGATAGCTGGATGTAATCGAATCTGGTGAAGAGCTTGAAATAGTTTCCATCTTGTTCCGTTTAAAAAAATTGCATTATCTTCTTTGGTGCTTGTCTGCTTGTTATTCTGAAGTGAGGCGTCAACGAATCTGGGATATGTAGAGCTTTATTAATCAACCTCTTGAGCAATGCTGCAACGAAAGGTCCTTCTAGTTTAGATGGTGTCAGTTCCACGAGAATAAATTGGCCCTTAATGTGTAAGACGCTAAAGTGGCCCTGTTGACTTTTCAGGATCCTTATGAAGAGGTCGTTGATATGAGCGACACACGATCAGTAGTTTTGACACGGGCTAAAAGAAGGCTCAGGCTGACTACTCATTTGATGCAACAAATCATACCTCCGGTGGCAGCCATTCAAATGCAAGGGAAATCAGTCGAAGATCGTATCGGTGCTACTTATACATTAGCGAAGTTGTCGTTGGCAGAAGCATGCCGGATAGCATCAATTGCCCGCCGCATAAAGGAAGTAGCTGCCGCAAGAGATGCTGAAGAAAGTAGGATTGAGAAGGAAAGAGAATTGTGAGTCACAACCTTCCGCAGTTTCACTCCTATTGTACTGGGTGACAATTTTCTTAGACATGTTTTGTTTAATGTCTCCAGAGAAGAACTGCTTGATATGCTGTTTATAAGTAAAGTAATCCAATATGTTCTATGTTTGTTTCTTGGATATATTTTCTGGACTCCATAAGTAATTCATGTAAATTGTCATTTCTATCTTCCATTTGTTTTGCACTCTCCATTAGGTAGTATTAGTGAGCACTGTGATCGGATTGGCGTAGTTTAGAAGTCACAACTTGGTAATAAAGTAATAGTCGGTATTGTCTTTGGGCAGGGCCTTGAAGGATCAGGACAAGACCAGTGAAAATCATGTGGGAGTATCTTTGCCTATGAACCTTGCCGACAGGTTCAAGCTGCGGATGAAACATTTAGAAGGAGATTTGCAAAGGTAAGCAGAGTCTGTTTGCTGTAAGATACATGCTCCAGGTTGAACCTTGCAGAAAATGTTAGATTCAAAAGGTAGCTTGAAGTAAAACTGTACAAGAGTTTTGTCGCCTTTACCTAACAGGAATACTAATGTCGTGGACTTTGTAAAGATGTATGCTTGAGCAGGAAGAAATATTTCTGTCGTGATACTGTCTGCTGTGTTAATCATATGAGTGTTGTATCAGTTTTGGCTCGATGGTCTATCCATCGAGCCATATCACTATACACCCTCGTTGCTTTGTGTACGGCATACCTTAAACTCTAGAAACGTAATAAGACATTCCTAGGATTTCTACGGGTGCTTACAGAGTCTGTTGATGTAAATAGAGATTATTTCACTTCTCACCTGCATTGCACGCAAGTCGTCTAGGAGTAGAAAAATATCTCATTAGTCAAGAGAAGACCTCTACGTTATGTGGTGCGCAGTCCGTAATTGATCCTCCTCATTATCTAGCGGATTCTAGTCATCTCTAGCGCAGTTATCGCCCTCTCGAACTTGATTCTTAGTACCTGGTTACTTTAGATGGAGTTCATTCAGCTTTGGTGACTATGTGTGCAGGCTGGAGACTTCCCCCTCGGCTATGGAGCTCATGAAGGAGATGCACGAAATTGACAGATTAGGCCTTGTCAATAGGTTGGCAGTTCATCAAACTTCTCTCTATTCTCTTTCTGAATCCCCTAACAGCAGGGGTGTTCCCCAGAAATACGTCACTACTGTGCAGATGCCCAGTAAACTACCTGAAGGGCTCTTGTGTATATCTTTGTGAGCGGAATGTACCATAGATTACGAGTCTTGTAGATTATCTCATTACCTCAATTTTAGATTGAAGGGAGGGATGCCTAAGATTTTGCAGCCCAAATTATTGCTAGCATTGATAACTGCTCTCGATACCATATTTGGTGATATGCTTCCAAAAAACATGGGAAGGTTTTACACAAGAAATATATCTATGAGAGTTGGTAAGAACCCAGCCCTTTTTGGCTTGGAAACCTGTTTGTTGCAACGCTTGCAATCAACGTCATTCGAATACGTTTGGGCTAGGGTGACACCCAATTTGAATGCGAATCATGAATGCTGAGTATGTAGCAAAGCCATGTTAGGAGGTTGTTTTGGAACTTGGCGTTTTCATGAATGTACTAATTTTCACGCTAAGATTACTTTTGAGCTAGCAATGAGGAAGAATATGTTCTTGATGGTATATCTTAACGTGAAAGCAAATACACAAGAGAAATACTTGATGGGACCCATCACTTTCAGAGATGGAAGAAACCCGAGTTTTATGGAAAATAATTTCAGGTTAATTAAGAAAACCTGATTTCAACAATGGCTTCAATCAATTGTATCAAACTACTAAAGGGTTTACATTGGGAATTTATTCGAGTTTTATGTTCGGAGCGATGTTCAGAATTGTTGGCATACAGAGACGGCCAAGAAGCTACGTTCCGCTTCCTTAGAGATTGACATTCAATTCCATTAGATGCCTTGTACAAGGTAGGATATGAACCTCAGACCTATGATCTGCAACGCACCTCAAATTGCACCAGGCCCATGCCCTCGGATTCTGCGCTGGTGGGACCCATTTCCGGAGGGGACAGAACCGAGACCCGACCCATACCCGACTTGGATCCCAAGAGATTGGAAAAAAGTCCATAGGTGTTTTATTTTGCTGGTGGAGTTGTTTTTAGGTTGCTGTTGAGACAGCAGCATTCAGCGCAAGAACATGAGGTCCAACGCAAGGAAGGACGGGTTGCACTTCTTGTTCGTGGTGTTGCTTGCGGCCTAGAAGTTGTTCTCATATTTCCCGCCCTACGTTGGGCTAGATAGGGAATTTGTTATGATTGATCTTCCATCAAAAGAAAATTTCGCATTTGGTTAAGAATGTGATTACATCGTCGCTGCACTTCTGGCAAATGTAGTGGTGAGCTTTGTGATCAAAGCAAAATCATGCAGTATATTGTCGGTGGGATCTCCTCTTCGATGACCCTATCGCTTTCAGAACTGTATTCGGTGAGACAGTGACACCCGCTTCTTATGGGGTTGCACGCTGTTGCTGTCGCCGGTGCAAGGGCGCATCATATAACCCTTCATCATGTTTTCTATATTTTTTTTTGCCGAGGTCGATATCAACATTTATCTTATAATTTCAAACAGTATTAAGGAAAAAAGAGCTTCTCAATAATGCGCTGGATCTATGGCAGCTAGCAAGAAAAATATCTCACACGAATACGACAATTTCAAAATTTCTCTCAACAAATAACTCTTTACATGAAGAAAACTACAATTATAAAAATCCAAAAATTTTGATATATTTTTCTTATTTTGTATAGCCTGAACCTCAAAACAACATAATTTTCTCTCTAGACATGATCTCTTAATTAAATTTAGGTTGATAGATATGTTATGTTACAATACACATTTTTTAAAATTTTCAAAATCTAACTCCAAATAAACAAAAATTAATTTACTCTGTACAAATTTTTCCAAAAGTAAACTTTTAGTACTCGTGAAAATCCCATTAACTTCCAACACTCATAAAATTCTATTTACATTTGATCTTGACTTAAAGCAAAAACTGAAACATACTTCATCTTTCACTCTACAATTAGTAATAAATTTTGAGAATGCTTTGAAAAGATATTTTTCGGTTCCTATGATCATTTTTCTCTTGATCAAATTGTCTAGAAAAAACACCTTTCCGTGCTATCCACTCCTATCGTGCCCATCAAATTCTGCAATATTCAATGTCAATTCGACTAGAAGAACAAAGAATTCTTGAAAGCCTAAACAATTAACGCGCAAAATCCTAAATATCTCAAAATTTTTTGAGACTTTAACCTGCGAAACTCAAAGTTGGATCTGAGCAGAGTGACCCGCCGACTCTTTACTGTATAACTTTTCAAGAAAACTTTTAAAAGTAAAAAGTAATATATGTGTAGTACAACACGTAGTACGAGTTTTATTTCATGTATTATAACTTGAAAATATGGAAGACATTCAACTCTAGTACAAGTTTGTAGTACCACCTGGAAGTACCTTGTACATTCAACTCTAGTTACAAATAACACACATAACATCCGCAATATTTATGGTTTTTCTCCTTTACTTAATCTCACACAAAATACTAACAATTGTAGTCTCAAGCCTCAAATAAATTCCATGTCAGTGGATACGATTTGTGTCTCGGATATGTATACCCAATGCAGGTATTTGACTCAAACAATGACCTTTCATCGTGATTAATTCCAGAACTTTAGTACCTCAGGTTCAGAAGGATAAACCAATTTCATGCCAATAAATAATTACCGATGTTTAGAAAAACCTTTCTGAATCTGTTTGCAAAAAACCTCATGGTGACAGCCCTGATGAATTTATCCGACAAGATCCACCCACATCACATCACGAGGCATCAAGTTCTAAAGAAAGTTGTTGTAACCATATGATGCTTGCTTTAGTGTCGGGGATTTATTTCGCCTATTGAACTATAGTTCTTAACAAAGTTGTTGTGACTATATGAAGTGGATTATAGAGTGGAAGATTGTTCGAGAACTTTAGTTGGCGGTTATAATGTTGGGGGACACTAGCGGAAGTATCGCTTGGAAGTTCCAACTTGGTCGCAAGTTTTGCCAATGGAACATCAATTATAATTTTGTATAGGTGAGTGCAATTCTTAGAGTATGAGAACATTCTCCCGGATACTAATTATTCTAGACACTAACATGTAGTTTCTAGGGATTTTATTCAAATTAATTATCAAGAAGAGATTTGATAATGTGATATGGTTGTCTAATTTGTCTTTTCTAGTTCACCTTCCCATGTAGAGTAATCCTTTGATGTAACAAACATTTAGTCATTGAATGATTTTTTTAAACATATAATACCAATATCATGTACCAACCAAACAAATGAAACTAATCTACGAGTTGTTTTCAAAACATGATATTGCTCGACATATTTTGGCAACCAACAAATTTTTTCATCAATTTGCCTCACTTTATTTCATTTTTTGCAATACAGTTGATGACTTAAGAGAAGGAAGTTTAAGAAGGTGACTGATGAAGTGTTGCTATTGTCGTCTATGCAATTTCTTAAACCTATGTTTATAATAATTACGGTCAAAATTTTCCCAAGAATTATTACTCTTGTGTCAATATAGAGATGAATCTTAGTGGTGATTTCTTGCTCTTAGACTAATTCACTGACGCATACTATAAGTTGCTGTCTAAAATTGCATTTGTCAATGCTATTCTCAAGCTTCTTTCGGAATCCATTATAGCGCTAGTGAATTTGACTTTTGATAATTGTATTTTAGGAATGATGATTCAATTCCACCAGTTATAGAGGCATATGTTAAAATGTATATGGGCTTCGAGTCACTCTTATGATGATGGATAAAACTAGTGTTATTAGTGTATCGACAGTTTAGTATTAACCCAAATGGGTCCAATTTTGAAAGTAGTTTGATATGCTGAGCACTTAGTTTTAAATCTTCTTCATCCAATTATCATCCCATTCGAGTGATCTCATTGAAATTCAAGAAAATTACATAAGTGCTTAGCATTAGAAGTGCAATTAGAAAAGATGTTGCAACAATTTTTGGCCTCCACTCAGCTCCTGCTTGTTGCTCCTTTTTCCTTGCTGCCAATCCTCTAAACAACACTTTTTATGTTAGAAATAACCGTAGGTTGATATTAGAACCTGATGTTGTGCCGTTGGTGAAGTGCCATCGGGTTCAATGATATGTGATGGATCAAGTAAACTAGTTGTGTTAGAGTAAACTATTTGTGTTATGCAAGGTTTCCATAAAGTAATTTTTTTCCAAGTACATGGCAAATCAACGTGAAATAATGAAATAAATGCTAGATGTATAACTGCTTCTATATTACTTAAAGATACACATTCTATGAATCATATATATTGTATCATTTGAGAAGCAATAAATTGAAAACTTACAAAGTTTTTGCCTCCAAACAAATGGAAATAATTATTTGATGTGATTCTTCCCGAACGCAAAACATTTGTGGAGATTTGAAACGATTCAATGTATTTGACTGTTTACTTTGGAAGTCCATTCATCCCATCGTCATCCATGTTCCCATACGAATTCTTGTAATGTGTGTGCGATTTCAAAAGTGATGTTCATTGTTGCTGTTCAACAGAATGATAGTTTTAGTCGAAAATTTTTGCAAGTATCATTATGTCAAGATGATAATTTTAATTTACTGTAGTAACTTCCTAGTACTCTCTTGCAGTGTTGCATGAGCCAAGAGCATGGAATTTGTGAACATCACTTCTTGCATCTTGAGTTGTTTCTATGTTTCGACACAAGCTTATGTTGTCGATTGTACTTTTTCGGATCTATCGTATCATAATCTGTTATTCAGTGCTTGAGTTGTCTCTATGTTTCAAGACAAGCGTATGTTGTCGATTGTACTTTTTCCGATCTATCGTGTCATACTCTATTATTCAGTGCTTGAGTTGTCTCTATGTTTCGACACAGGCGTATGTTGTCGATTGTACTTTTTCCGATCTATCGTATCATAATCTATTATTCAGTGCGAGAACTAACTTGACAAAAGTGAATGCTAGATCTGTGAGCAAAGCGGTTACAAGAACTCGCAGTTGACGATGGGTTGCAAGCCGTCCGATATCCTATTGGGTAAAGTGGCTCTTATGGGTCTCCACAAGTGTTTTGGATTCTGGAGGGATCCCATGAAGTGATTTTATCATACAAATGTCAACCTAGTCACACTTGGGAGACTTTTGCATATTTTTCCATCCGTGCATATATCTCTCAGATTTCTCCCGTTTGTTCGTAAATTCATTTTTAAGTGATTAAGTCTAGAAAAAATTACTTGATGGGATGGGAATATCGCATTTTTCATTTGAATGATGAAATTCAAAATACTTGTTGAATCCAACACTATATATATAAAGTATCGGTAGCCCTATGGTACTACAGCCCACCTCACCCATGTTCCAATAGGAGTTCTGGATTTGGTACAATCCACTTTACGGATTTTTCGGAACAAAACACTTATTGGATCCAACACAATTAACTAAACTCTCGACAGTATCACCACGCCCCTTCAGCCCACCTTCATTCATGTTCTAATATGAATTCTATGTTTGGTACAACCCCACAGAAAAGAGTTGCTAGACTCCCACCGCCCCGCCCTACAACCCATCGTCACCCATGTTCCAAAACGAGTTATGGGGAAGTTACAACCCACTATAAGAAGTTGCTGCGAACGCAAAACCGTTGTTGAACCCAGCACGATTCATTTTATGTCATGAGACCCCATGGCCTTGCATCCCACCGTCACCCATGTTCCAATACCCAGAACTAGATACTAGTCAAGGGTGTCTACTAACAAGCAAACATAGATCAGAGCCGGGTCCAACGGATCTTTTGAAACACTCGCAAACTCCGAACTCTTCACAACTTCGAAACCCACCAACGATACTCCTACAAATGCTACTTTTGGGATTTATGAGCTCTCGGAAGGAAATCTGCAGATAAAGCGACGAGTTGATCATTTAGTTGGCTGCAACAAGTTGATCAAAAAATTAGAAAGAGATACAAAGAGCGCATCTTGGACCTTAATGTGACTGAATTTCAATGCATTTAGTCACCACAATCGTTTGTAAATTCTCCCAGTAACACTTCAACCTCATGGCCGAAACGCCGAAGTAATGTCACTTGGGTATTTCAGCTCGATAGCAGCAGTTCCTCCGCTCACATTGTAGTCGCCATCGCCAACGGTGTGCGTCGAGTTCTCTTAGTTTAGGCAAACTTTCAGGCAATCAATCTTTCAATCTTCGAGCCAAATTGCCATACCCACTGCCATATGTCATATCCAATTAAATACGATACCAAAAGCTCGGACAAAAGTATTATTCAACCGACTGTTCTTTACAGTGCATTCATTTTCCGTGTTTACGTTTCATATCAATCTCTTTGGTTCTCACATGAGTGACAACGTACATTCAACTTACATGCATGGCTGCTGAAAAATGTACTAGTCTGATTGTGTTGATAAAGTAACAAATAGCTTTCTGGTCTTGCAACTGCTTGCAGGTGAATCCTGTACGATAATCTGAACTTCCTGACTTTGGTCATAACTACTTCTTGACATAACTCAGTGCATTTTGGTCGATTTTGATTGCTAGAACAACCGCATAACTACACTCTTGTTGATACTTCCTCAAGGACATCATCGCGACAATGAAGTCTTCAAGTCCTCTTCATCCAGTTCTATGTATTATTATCGGAACTGAGTGAAGATGAGACATCGTCTAATCTAACAACAAGCTATACGCAAATGGATTTCCACAGATGTACGGTTGACTCTTTTCCCGTGCATGGATGGAAGTCACCTCATACAAAATTCACAGCGGACAATGATGGCCTGCATTATCATAGTTATCATATGAACATGAACATCCCTTTCTGCTCGATTGCGCTTTTTCTATGAAACATCAGCTACGGGAAAGCCGCAGCATCCACGTCAAAAGAGATTCTTGTATCAAGTGGACCATAATCTGCGTAATCTATTTTTTTCTCCCATGTTTACATCCATCTCATGGAATCACTTTTGATCATCTGTTGGATAAGCAAAATGTCATACATGTGTAATACATACATGTCATACTGGTCATACATGTGTAATACATGTTGACTGCATGTGCAGTCAATAAGCTCTGTTACTACTTTTACATTATATTTAACTACTATCTCTTCTGAATTTCAGGTCCCTGGTTAAACGTGTAATGTATTCAGCGAAGGAGAATAGACGTTTCCAGACACAAATTCACTGAGGACAACAAATTAGGGACTCAACAAAGAACACGCTACGTCTATAGTGGTACCAACTAAAATATGTTATATAATCCGAAGAATCCATTTCAGAGATAAACCGAAAGAACGCTGTATGTATATATACATCTCCATGGAGTCAGTTCAATAAAAACCGAGAAGAGATTCAAACTTTCAATTTTATTTCTGTTACAAAGAAATAGACTCTCTTGGTGAGTGATTGTTTCTGTAAAATGTTCCACTTCAGCTGTCTTGAGGTTCGTAAATGCATGAAACCCAGAGCTAGACGTTCGTCACGGTTTGGTTGATTGGCAAATTTAATGCAGATAAAGAGAAATTAAACGGGACAGAAACCGGCCATCGCAGCGATGCAATTGGTGTATTCAGAAAGCAGCCACTGCAGTATATGTAATCCAGAGGCAATCTAAGTGGGCTGAGGGAATCGACTAGGGAGCATGATACTCCGATCCTTTAAAAAAACCCTCGCACGTAGAATGTACGTTGGAAGGGACCTTCCAGAGAGACATACCATGGTGCCAATCATTTCTGTTAACTATCAGGGCTTTCCGTATCCTTTACAGATTTCGTCATTTACGGCTCCGACTACCGATATACCAAACTCTAGGCCTTCTGTGGCAACACAAACTTCCAACAAAGACTCTTCGATTAAAAGTACAGCTAATTTCTCACTAAAAGGAAATCCTCACCCTAGCATATCTGCTTTAGCGAGACTGTCAAGCGTTATCCTTAGTGATAATAAATTCCGATTAGCAAATCAATTAAAATTAAGATTGGCTTTACTTCAACAACACATCCGTAGAACAATGTTGAATCTGATCTACAATCTGCGCAGTTCTGTAGGCGTATAACTTACCAGAAAAATAAAGACATGAAACTGGACTCACTACTCTCTGCTTATCATAGCCTAGACCCCAGAGCGGGGAGACTTACACATGAAGAGTGCAAAAAACTTTTAGGAGTAGTGTATCACGGTGTAATTTAGATTAGTTCGAGAGACAAAAAGCAGGATCTAATACAAAGACAAATAAAGAGACCGAGTACAAATACTCGATACGAGCCTTAGAAGGTATGCAGAAGATATTTAGAAGTTCATACTCATCATCTTCTAATACCTGCACGATCGATGCAACGAGGCAAATGAAACTTTCCCGACATTTAGATGATGGCATGTATCACTTTGCCAAAACGTAGCACCAGGGCGTCATCAGTGTGTACCCGGGTGAAGGGGTAGATTGATATACTAGTCCAGTCATGGTCACTTTGCAGGACTGAAGACCAGCTTTATTAGATTACGCAAACGGTTCCGACCCCCGGGTGCTTGCCGTCGCCCACAAGATAGTTAGTCCCTTGCTAAATGGTAATTAATTCTGTAAGATAATCTCAAGGTTTAAACGGAAAAGCCGAGTACTTTCCTTGCAAAAACTGTGAAACAGTGCCATGAAAGTTTGTTAAAAACATTCTTTCCTAACTTGATTAGAAACAAGAAATCCTTTCATCGTGGAAGACAGAGAGCAGCCCATAGTAAAGGCGACCCATATTACACAAGAGGTTTCTTGTGTAATATTTACATCCTCGCTGACTTTTCTCAACTTCGGCAAAATTCAATGTCTGCAATGTAACTTGCTTCAGGGTGAAAACTGAGGCCAAAACGGCTCAACTCCCTTCCACTTGAATCGTTAACAGCAACACGTAATGCATGTACTGCTCTACTCCAAATTGAAAGTTGCGACATGCACACCGTCAAACGATCATACTGAAGAGGCCACAAGCACGACGAGATAATGTTGGATATACTAGTCTAAATGGTGTGCTCTTCCGGTTTGAAGTAAACCAAATGGACATTTACAAAACCGTACAGCCTGAAATGTCCTCAGCGGTAGGAAGACCTCAGTGGTCAAAGTTGATGTATGCATACCAGAAACCACAACCGACTCAGCACTTGCGACCAAATCTGCCCTTCTTTCTGCACGGCTAAAAGTTTAACCCAACCAGAAATGGAGAAGATGACAAAAATTTGAATTCCATATGCTGGCACACCTCATTCTCATCTTTTCAAGACTCGAACAAATGGATTCAGTTCACTATAACGGCCTTATGACAAGTTCTTCTATAAATTTTATCCGTCTCCAAATTTACTTGCCAACTGAAACGATCGAGTTGCAACGTACCTTTTTCAATTATCTTCGCAGGCAAGAAGTATGGTAAAAACTTGCGAGACAACAGCCCTTCAGTGCTTGGCAAGTTTCAGCTCCGGACCGAACTTTCAAGGATCGTTACCAACATCTTGCGCAGCTTAGCAACTGTAAGATAAAAGCTCTTCATCAACAAATTGATTGTTTCATTTGCTTGAAGAGTTTCGAGAATTCCAGAAAGCCAAAAACTGAAGTCTGACAGACAGGAGTTTAGAACCAGCAAATATTACAAAAGTAGTCCGCCTGTTGACCACTTAATGTCATGCACTTCATCGAATAGATACAATTACAACCAAAACAAATACAATAGAACGAGAAAAGTAAAAGCGACAAACAGAAGTCACTACTTCAATGAGTTTTCAATAACGTAGTAACCAGAACCTTTATTGCTCTCGGAACCGTGTGTCCGAGAGATATGAATGATAAAACTCTGCTGAGTTACAGAATCAGAATACAGTATTCTAGTACGTACGTAAAGAATCTAAAGATTCAGATTTCTCCGAGTTTTTCAAACCTAAACGAGTTGCACTGATCTGCGAAAGGGTTTAAAACCAACTGGGCCTGGACTGTCCCAATCCTCTTCCTAGTACCCTACTTCAAGCGTCAATTACTGAGTTCCACACAACAACCTATCGGTGTATATATATACATAGAGACCGATGATAACAAGTTCCTTGAAATTGCACGGGAAGAATCCGAGGTTGCGAAGAGCCATAATTAGAAGAGCCAAATTCCTAGCAACAATTCAGCCACTCAGAAACCAATGCAAGACGATTATTTCGTTAAAACGACCAGCTTCCCTGGCCTGCTGCACAGTGCCAAACAGCAAAACATGAACAATGTCGATACTTACCTGGAATTAATCTTAGCGCGGAATAGGCTCAAATGCAGATGGAGACTATGAACCATACTACAAAAGGGTTGTGCACATATGGAGGAAAGCAAAGCTTCTTGAATAATAAGAACGTCTCCCCGAGCTTACGACTTTCTTGATAATGGCCCGTCTCAACTTCCAGAGACTAGTCCGTCAACCTGCAACGCAGTGGAGGATGACACCAGGCAACTTGCGTAACGATTCACTGATTGGTCCACCACAGGCGGAACTGCAGCACGAGAAAGGAGTCCCAACGATCCCACCGAAATGATGATACGCAAGCTGTCCACAGCAAGATACAAATACTCAACTCCCACAAAGAACCAGCCAAAAGCAGACGGCCATTGTGAGTGACGACAGAGACGACAACAGTCCAACCTGGTAACGGATAGTACGGAGAATAGAGGCTCCGAGCGCTGGCTGGTTAATGATGCTGAGAAAAGACGGGCTGCCACCACCTAAAGTGCATAAGCCGTCAGAGTCAACAAATTATTAAAAACGAAAAAAACTTACAAGTAAATCGCTCAAAACAGTCTCCTCGCAATTGGTCTAATCCATATGAAGAAGAACTATTGTCGCTAGTCAGGACAACGAGGGCTTACAGAGTATGAGGACCTACAAAACTCAACCATCAACTCTCAAAGATGCACAGAGGGCAAGAGAAAGTTAGTGTTCTGCTAGGACGGTGCTATTCTGTCAACTGTCTTCCCTCATTATGAAATCCCTCTCCCTCTGTTCAACATACAACTGGAGAGGCCTTTGATGATAAACTTAAAACCCCTACGTACATATGTTGTCATATCCCAACATTAAGAGGACTAATGTACCTTCTGAAAGCTGTTACCTGGTACTAAAAGCACCAATAATTGCTCGGATAGACCTGGAGGCATCCCTGAAGGAAACAGAGTAAATCAGACTCCCAACTCTTGAAAAGTTCATAATGAGCTACTCCAGCCAACTAGAAAGGGAACTTAAGACAAAAGCTTCTTTAGTGAAACTGTCTACCAGCTTTGATAAGGTGAAGTATTTATCCTCCTTTAGAAGTTACATAAATACATGCCGTGACAATGCAGATAAAACGTAAGACAACAAAACAGGCAACCATGATATTTTCAGCCATAGATCAGTCCACGTAAAGTTTGTAAACAAAGCCGGTAACATTTAAGTGTGTTCGCATCAACGACATATCATATGAAATCCAAGAGCAGGGGCACCAACGTTAGTCTCAAGCCTGCTCGACTACTCTGTGTGTTAATGCCATACAGTTTTGAAAATTATGCGGGTACATCCAGATAGTACACGATACAATGCGTGTGTGAAATGAGATGCAAAGGTAAGCAAGAAGAAACAAAGCACGTCAAAACCTCTTTCACAAGTAGGAATGGACAGGAAAAACGCCTTGGGCGTGTTGTCTTACAATAGAACAGTGTTTTATCTTCTGGCAGTATCGCCCAGTAACAAATGGTCTCCAGACCAACAGCAGCTGTTTCCCAGTGCCCACCCTCGCCACCTACTGTGCTCGCGCCATTGTGCTTGGCACAGTGCGGCAAAGATGGTGACAGAGCAGATCAACGAACAGGATGAGTGTCCCATTGTCAAGTAAATATCTTGATCAGAACACCAAGTCTTTTAGAATAATCCTTTACAGTCTAGTGATTCGCTACTTACCCACATCAGTGCCTGGAACCACAACTAGAAAGTGCACCGCAAAACCTAAGCAAAAAACATAAGAATGCCAGCAGACTGGCATGACCACATCACTTGCCCGAGATGAAAGAATGGTTCAACGCTTGAGATACAGTAAGCCGTTTGTCAGGATCCAGAATAAAGATTTTCTCCAACAGATCCTTGAAACTAGCGTGCAACTTGGAATCTTCATCAATACTTCCTGAGCTGTTGACAAGGATTCCCATGTCCTTAGGCCGAACATTCACCAATATTCGCTTTATCGTCTGCAACCAAAAGATGAATCATTCAGCCGAAGGAAAGTGCGCAAAGCCTTTTGATTCGCACTCGGAGAAACCTACTCAAAACCATACATGGTCATGACCCTAGAGGAGGGTTCGCAATACATTTATCTCAACCACAACCAAAACAACAAGAAATCACAACGGAAAAGGCCTGTAAAAAGTGATACCTTTTTCGTGACAGGGTCCTCTTCTATGGCACAAAAGTTGAAGTCCTGGTCGAAGTGCTGGTCGGCAAAGGCAGCCTGCACATTGGCATATCACGAACATAAATGGTCAGAGAGGCCATTGCAGGGTATTCGAATAAAAGTTAGTGCTATCAACTATGGATAACTACTCTCACATTCAGTATAGTTTCCAGAATGTTTGAGTGCGATGCATCTCTGTTAGAGTTTTAGTTCTAAGCCTACTGTAAATAAGAATTAGTAGAACAGGAAGGGACTTGTCAAGAATGACTTCACGAGGCGGCCAGGTTAGCTGTGAGGGTTAGGTGCTCAGGCTTCTCTCACTATCAACCGTCGTGGGCAAGGGTTCTAGTTAGGCATTATTTTCAGGACACTTCAAACGCTTCGACTCGTTTGTGGTATGCCGACCAGCAATCATTGTGAAGCTAGTAATATACACCCACTACCGTATGCTCTAAGAGCCAAGCACAGCTCACCAATCATAAGAGCGGGCTGCCTATCCCATCACCTAGGCTGTTTGTATGTCTGACAAGCTTAGAACTCCACCTGTCATCCGCGAGCCACAAGATGTTAAGCAAGAAAAAACGATCGACTTCAAGCCCAGGTACATGAAGAACCAAATCTATTGCAAGAATCATTGATTTCAAGTAATTTACCTTTTTCAGCATCTTCTTGGGAAAGGGCCCCTTTAACTCCATGTGGAGTCTCAGCATGTCATTGTTGGTGTGTCCAGGAAAGAGCATCTTCCCAGTGTACAGCTCGTACAGACAGCAACCGACGGACCAGATGTCCAAAGCATGGTCATAAGGTAAACCCAAAACTGCAATAACGGTTCCAATGCGTAGTTAGTCATTCCGTATTACTATCGGGAACATGCTACTCGAAAACTCAAGCCTGGACAGTCTCATGCATATCAAGTCTCAAAGCAAGTTAGACAGCGACTAGGGTATATTCAGCATTTCGAGTACACCAAAGGCGTTATTTTGTAGAACAGCTAATTTCCACAGAAGCTGTAAAACGTGAACTCTAAGGACATCACCCGCAATTCTTACTTCACAACCTCAAGCATTTACAGAGCCCATCACGTTAGTTGCACACAACAGTGAGACAAAAGGTCGATTCTTACTAATTTCGGGGGCTCGGTAGAATCGACTGACAAGATAAGGAGTAATTTCATTCTCGCCGGCGAACATGGCAGATCCAAAGTCACAGAGCTTAAGAACATTCTTTGCCTCGTTTACCTGATACAATGTTAAACTTGGGTCAAGCTTCTAGTAAGATAAAAAGCAGTGAGGAAGACATCCTGATGAAACATAAACTTCAAATTCATGCCTTCACAATAGAAATCCTGAAAAGGGACAATTGCGTGCTACAACTTACCAGCATGTTGTCTGGCTTGATGTCACAGTGTAGAACACCACAGTTCTTCAAATGTTTCAAGGCAATAAACAGTTGCTTCGCATACACTCTTACAGCATTCAGGTTGATACCAATATTCCGCCCGAATTTCTTCAAGATTTCTCGCAGGTTCATATGTAGTGACTCAAAAACCAAGCATAAGTGACTTCGGTACTCAAAACTAGACAAAAGTCGGACACAATGTCGCTTGTTTTCAGGATCAGCTCCTGCCAATTTCTTTAAAATGACCAATTCTTGCTGACCTGCTTTGAACCTGCAATATGAGAAAGAAGTTATATAACGATTGATATAACAAGTGATCAACCAAAGAGACCGAAGAGCACGTAAGCGGGAGATACAATCGTAGGGACTCTACTCATCTCTCAGAATATGAGAAACAAGTTGCAAACCAAAAAGAGACGCAATACGATGAATTTGTAACTCCTAATCAGAGCAGAGTTCGATATCTTAATGTCAGTAAGGGCTACAGAAGGACATACATTGTTTCATTATTACGAATGATCTTGATAGCAACTTCCTCAGGTTCTCCTCTGCCAGCTTTGAGATCCCGCGCTCGTACGACAGTAGAGAAGACACCTCTGCCGTGTGAAGACGCCACCTCGTACCGACCATCCAACATCTCACCAATTCGAAAACCTGCATTACCAGAAACCTATCAGACTCACTTTGTGTCAACTTCTAAGGATGTTCGTGCAGAACATCCTTAGAAGTCAGATTGGAATCATCTGGCCTTCAGCCAGATGATTCCAATTTTGGGAGAAAGGAACTCGAAACCAGAGTTTAAATCAAACGGTGATAACAAAAAGAAATAAAAGGTCGGCCCTTACAGTAGTATCCCTCTGCATCATCCCAGTTGTCGGTGAGACCACTTGTATCCAAGGCCAAACCATCACCTTTACCCTGCAGCACCGTGCCCTTCAGTTAGGAAAAACCTACATAAATTTCATTAATGATACATACGGAAGTCCAGAGTAAGCTTGAAAGTATGAAATGGCCTCATATGGGCACGGAGATGGAAACTGGTTTGCAGCACCAATAACTCACCAGCCGACGTCCTCCGGCTGGGGATTCACCGAATATATCATCGCAGAACATATCGGCCGATCTTTCACTCTACATCGACCAAACAAGCCCATGGGGGAATTAATCACCTAGGACAATAATAAAGAGGAAATTATGCCCCAGTTCGGAACGGCATATGATGGAAAACTTGTACGTGTGGTGCCTCTTCATACTAGAGAAAAACAACAAACATATGCATCAAAGAGTTTAATATACCCTTTGATTATATGAAAAAAAGGGAGGTAAACAGGACAGAGACCAAAGCAGAACACACAAAGATTTTATTACAAAAAAAATCAATAAAATAAAATGGATAAAATAACAAGGCGCTCAAGGCAAAAACAACGCACCTTAGGCGATCCTGCTCCTAAACCACCATCTAGAGTCGTCTCTTGAGGCAAAGCTCCATTTTGTAGGGTCCCCTTTCCTAGGGATAACTCCGCATTCAATGACCCGGATTCTATCCGTGCTGGGCCGCCCGCATCTGTAGTGCTTCCGTTCGACTGATCGACATGTTGTTTTTTAACATCAGTGGTGTTGGTTCCTGTAGCAAGTCAGAATGTAGAATCTCCACATGAGTTCCCAGCTCTTTACATATTAGCTTTGAAAGCAACAGCAATGGCCTTCAGCCCTCGAACCCTGAAAAAGCGAAATGAGAAAGAAAAGCACACTTGAAAGAAGTAAACGCGCAATCACTTCGTATGAGGACTTGCCTTGCATATCATTTGTGGCTGGTTCTTCAGCTGATTTTTGTTGCTCTTGTCGTTGATACTTCTCTAAAATAGCTTGCCTTCTTAGCCTGCTCTCCACTTTGATTTTTTCAGGATCATCTTCTTCCTGTGCAGCTAACTGCGAAGCAACCCTCTCTTGGTATTCTTCCTGGTTTTCCTCTTCCCTGCAAACCCAAAAAGGACAACCCATAAGGAGAAATGGTGGGGGAACGTCAATTTGAGATGTATCGACACCCAAGAAAGCCGAAAGAAAGCAGGTGGGAGACGTGCAGAAACTTACATGGTACTATCAGCAAGGGAATCTTTGTTGGAGTGTTGGCTATCCTTGAAATGCGATGTTTTGTGACCGCGAGTTCGGTCGTTAGTGTTGTTTGCATTCCAATCCCTTTCCCTATCCATTTTGTACATGTTCTCTCTATTATTCTCGAAGTGTCGACCGTCACGATAGCTTCGATCGTCCCTGCTGTTTCTGTATAGTCCATCATCAGCACGCCATTCGTGCCTACTGGCATCACGATCCTCACCCTTATAGTCTCTGGGGACATCTCTGGAGCCTCGCCTCCTCTCTGTACCGTCTCCATGCCTGCTAACATCTCGTTCCTCCCCTCTCCGATGTGAGCTTTCTCTTGACCTTGAGCGTCGCCTTCTCTCCATGCTCTCAGCACGCCTGCCACTCTCCCACTCAGTACTCACCCGTTTCTCTCTAAGACTCTCTCTTGAACGAGAACGCCGCTTCCTATCCACGCTGTCGGCTCGAGACGCCGGCTTCAATCGGGCACTTTCGCGGGACTTGGAGCGCCTATTCCTGTCAAGATGATCCTGATTATCCTTCGAGTGCCGCCGCTCATAACTACTATCAGGTGACCAAGAACGTTTCTTCCGATCATGCCCATCAACCCCTGTTCGCCTGTCTCTGACGCCATCGCGAGAACGAGATCGTCCTCGGACATGACTTCTGGCGATCTCTGCAGAAGGAATACGCTTCGGCAGTACCTCTCTGTCCTTAGCACTCTCCAGAGACCGAGAACGACCTCTCTCACTGTGCCTGTGGTTTGCGCTGTCCTTCGAAGGAGATCGGCCTCTTCTCTGCCGATCTTTTGAGGTGATGTTTATGTTCTCAGGACTAGGGGAACGTCGTCGTCTTCCCCCATTACCTCGTTTCCCTGAGGCATGTGCAGCGTCTTCAGCTGCGGGGGATAGAGAGTGACGAGCATGCTTACTCTTCGAAGAGGCAATTAACGACAGGTCGCTTGGACTCTCCGTGTCTGCATGGTTACTGTGCCCGGCCTCTAAACTCTGTGAGCTCTTCAACTTAGAGCCATCGTGCCTTGACCTGGACTCACCCGATTTCGAATATTTCCTGTCCTTCGATTCACTGCCTCTTTGTTCCGGTGGACCCATCGAGTGCTTCTTGGACTCAAACTTATCACCTGCCCTTTTCTTATCAAATCCTGGATTTCTCTCGAGATCCGGTCCTTCAGACCGTGCACCATTCTCCGATTCCTTGGCAATATAGAACTTCCCAGATCTCAAGTCGGCTGAGACCACAGGCTTCTCGTCTGATGCCTGACTCTCAGAGTCGTAGGCTTCAGCAATGCCAAGCATGCTTTGAAGAGCATTTGGAGAGCTCTTGCTAGTCCTGTCTGACTTCCCAGCTACCCGCTCTCGGTGGTCAATCTGCGCAGTGTACAGAGTGACAAATTCTATTCAGGTATAATTTTCAGACTTCCACCGAAGGAAAACACTCAAGATCATCACGGCAAAAAGTTTTTCAGAACTTCGAACAAAGCATAGTTCAAGCGGTTGAAGTTGATGGCCTTGCAACTGATATTTCTATATGTGGACTTGGTCATAGATATGAACGGGATAAGTGAAGATGGCAAGTGCAAGTTGCGAAGCGTTGAGGCGAAATTTCGAACTCCTCTCTACCAACGTATCAGCCGTAAGTCATGTGCTATTCACAGGACAGAAACATAAAACAAAACTGTACCTTTGACTCCTCCACAGAGGAGAGCGTCTCTAGGGGAGGAGAATCCCATCGGCTTTTGTCTGCTTTCCCTTGGGCTTTGATCACCGTCGCAGCGGCTTCATTCCGGACTCCGTCTCGATTATCTGCCTCTTCCCCCATGCATATCTCACCTGATTCCAAATCTTTTGCTGGACAACTATCTTCATCGAGAATTTCACCTTCTTCTTGTTCATCATCTACGACCGCAGGTTTCGGATGGCTGGACGCTTTTACATCGTCATTCCTACTGTGTGTTCTATCCGACGTTCCAGCTCTTACCCCATCCCGATCCCTGATTTCCCTAACATGAGATTCGTCGTCGACAGAGTCTTTCCTGTCTAGCTTTCTCTCTCTTCTTTCTCTTCTATCAAAAGTTTCTCTGTCACGCAAATCTAAGTCCTTACTGTCCTCCTGGACTCTGATTTCCCTATCCGAACCATGCCGTTCCTCTCTTCGCTCTTTCCTCTCCTTGTTCTCCTTCCCCTTCTTCCTCTTGACATCCTTCTTGTCTCGATTTTCACGATGCCTCTCGTGGTCGTCCAGATCCTTTCCTCGGCGCTTGTCCCTTTCATCTCGCCGTTTCTTCCTTTCCTCCCTGACCCCCGCATCCTCGACAACGTCCCCCGCGGCCTCTCGCTCCTTCCTCTTCCTCCTGGACTCACGACTTTCCTTGCTCTTCTTAGCCTCCAAAATTTCCGCATCGTCCTCGACATCTCCAAGGGTGCCCGCCGACACCTTCGCGAGGCCACCATCCCAGCCGTTATCAACGACCTCCATATCCACTCTCGATTCCTCAACTTCCTCCTCCATCGCCAAATCCGTGTTCTCAGAGGGATCCATCAATGCACCGATCTAAACCTGCTGCTACACACAACGGCTTCCGTCCTCGCTAGGGTTCGCGCATCACATACTTTTCTCCAGTCAATGCCTCAGTCCGCCACAATCATCAGCCCATCAAAGCCCCACAAAACATCTCGAGAACTTACTGATGTTCAGGCATCGCATGCGAGGCCTCCGTCTCCGTCCCGAGCTCTGGCCACACGACAACGATCCCCTCGGCGAAATCAGCTCTAGGGTTCACACCGAGCACCCGCCATGGCTCGCTCGCTCGCTCGACACGCCGCTGCGAAGGAGAGCGCAATTGATCGGTGCCGCTCTCGTCCTCCTGAAGTGCCCGCGCGCTTGCTGGCAAAGGGATCGAAGGCAAGACAGGGGTTCGAATGCTCCCCACTCGCTACCTGCCGTCGCGTTCTCCTCCTCTTAGTGCTACGCAAGCCAAGCCAGGCCGCGCGGTGATGCGAGGCCGACACAGGCGCACCATGACGACCAGTCGGCCCTCCCATCTCACTCCGGCCAGTCCATCCGGTGCAGGCCCCGGTCCCAGTTTCCAGGCCGTCGTCATTCCGGATCATAACCGGCTACCGCTGCGTGTCTCCAATATCCGACGGCCACGTCTCCGATTCTCACCGCCATGCCTTCTCTCGAGTCTCAACTACTCCGTAGCCTCCGTAGGCTACACGAGTTTTCGTCTGCTCTCCTTCTCTTTCCATTCCCTCCGTTCCCAGAAGCGTCGGTATTCTGTACCAGCTCAGCAGTCCACGCGCTCATGTTTTCTGAACTTGTGCATGGACATGTTTGGCATCGCGTGGCACCAACTCGCTTGCTTTATGAGCAGCGATTTACAAATGCTGCTGGAACTCGCTCCACATCTGACATTTCCAAAGATTGGCCATCGAGTCTTCTCCGTTGCTCTCTTGGAATTCTTGCCCCCATTCTTCTTTCATACGCTTCATCTTTGACTCCGATCCGCAAACCAATTTGCTTACCCATTCAGTGTCTTCCATCCGTAACAGCTTTCATTTAAATCCATTCTTAACTTCTACTCAAATCCTCTAGAGGTATATTTCTTTATATCTAATATTATTCATGTTCATGAAAGACTTTATCCATAAGCTCTTTATGTTTGAAAACAAACTCCGTATTTCATGCTTTGTATGACTTTTTTTTATTCATTGTAATACTATTTCATTTTTTGATTGTCATACTCGCTTTGTACTTGGTGTTCGATGATGAAAATCAAATAGCTCCAAAAATATCACATCTCCATAGTGTTTAACTTACTTACTAGCTAGTTACACATTCGAGGATGAGAGTATTGTTGTGTACATACGCATCATATCACAATCTATATTCTTGTCACATCAAACATTGCAACATACTTGACTTTCATGCAACAACACAAATCCAAATCAATAATGTTATTTTAATCTAATACATTTATGAAATCATGAAGATAATCACATTAGAATAATAATTAATCAAACTCACTTTATGACTCATAGATGTGAGATTCTTACATGAACTATTGTACGCCATAGTTGCATTCTTCAAATATCAACCTCATAAATTGAATCCTTATATAAAATAAATTAAACTCTACTTATTTAGTCATAATCTTTTAATAGCTAACGAACACATCCAATGCAAATTGGCGTTAATTGAACAATTTACTTTGACCATTGTGTATAATACTCCATTTCAATATCTATCTACTAAGTAATCATAATAGTTGTCATGAAAATACATATTTCTTACAACATAAGTTATTATCACAAATGTTCATACATCTATACAATTCTTTTACAAGTGCAAATGCACTCATAATTTATAATAGTATTTTTTTAACACAACATTCTTATCAATACTTTAAAACTAAGACTTGTGACATTTGCAATAAGTTTCATACAATTCTATCTACAAATGATTTGTTTGATAACATGTCATGAATCTAGTATAAGCTCTATGTGTACTCAACATAATATTTTGTCATTCAATTATTCCATAATAAAAATAAAAATTTCATGTGTTTTATTTTTATTGGCTCTAATTTGAATAAATATCGCTACTTTTTAAATAAAAAATAAACATAGTCTAATATTGATTTAGCTATATTTTGAAGAAATCTTTTTGTCTCTAGGTTGAGGTAGCAACATGCAATTGAGGACTTTGAAAATATTACAACACCATTTCTTATTTAAAAAATAATCTTGGATAAAAAATAATTACAATGCTTATTTACAGCTTTTTAAAAAATGAATATATATTTTGAATAGAATCATATGATGATAGAATTTAAAAACTACAAAGTATAATTCGCAAAAGTACATTAACATTGTTATGTTTGTTATATTTATCTTCACATCAAAATTTCACAACAATCTCAAAGTTGTTTCATCAAATTTTTAATGAAACAACTGCATACGGTTTTCATTATGGAAATTAAATATTTTTTGATGTCATATTTTTCAATAGATCAAAATCCTCAAAAATAATTGTTTTTACGATTCTCTTATATATTTGCATCAAAACATCTTCCAAACATCTTTGTTGAACGATTTTAACGACTTTAACTTACGTGTTCCATGCTGATTGTTGAAGTATTTTTTTGGTTATTGTTAAACACACTTCACACTTCTTACAAGTTATTTTTTGTCAAAACATAAGTACTATTTCTTTATTTATTTACTTCATAATCTATTGGATCATTATGAGGCAGTTAAGTTGAATTATAAATGAAATTATGATTTAACTGTACATATAATATGAAAATAAATGTCTTCATTATATGATTTCTAAAATAGTACAATTCTCTTGCAATATGTAATGTAAATTATTGTCTCAGTTTCGATTACTTTCAATCAAGTATGCATCTTCAATCAAGGCCATAAATTTTGTATAATTAGTTTTTTTTCAACTCATTTGCATTATGCTTGTAGTAAGTGATCATTTTTACTTTGATGAATTTGTGTTTTTACATGCATTTTATAATATTTTTCATTTAGTTTTCACAAAAATTAATCAAAGTTTGATAAACATCATAAGTTTTGCAAAATATTGCACAATTTTTGCATGACTATAGAATTGATAACATGACTTGAAGGTTTTCAAAATTCCAAATGTATCATTTCATGTATCAAATCTTTTTAAATCTTTTCAAGCATTTAATTCATTATTTTTTCAATAGATTTTCAACAGTAGATTAATTTTTGGATGAGACAACATAATCTTCATAAATACATACGATTGTATGCAAATTTTTTTCTTGCAAATTATTCTAGAATTAAAATTAAAATTTTTTATTTTTCTTTCAACTATAAAATAAATAATTTTATGAATGTTTTTAATATAAATAATCAAAAATTTGATTGATGGTGAGACTTTGAAAATCAAATGTAGTCAAAAGACATCCAAATAATCATACATTTCACATATATCATAAAATCAAATGCACACGCATAGCCAAAACTAAATTTATGTTGTTCAACACTATGAACTTCATATTGACAAAAATTATTCAGACTTTAAATTTAAAAAATTCATCTTGTGTCACTAAGAGTTTTAACAAGCTTTATTATGAAATAACAGACTTATTAGGGTAAAGCTAATTAAAGTTAAAACAAAATTACAATTATGACTGACCATCTTTCCTAATCTAATGTTTCTGAATATCCTTAAGCTATGTAATTTAGAGCTAATAGAAACTAAGCCGTAGCAAAAATATTATAAAGTTTATATATATATACACACACACATACAAATTCTACTTATGCTCCTTATGTAACCTTTATAACAAAAAATATTAATTCAAGCATTGTCAATTTTGACAATGTTTGTCTTTTTATCATAAACTTTATTTGTAATAGAGTGATATCTAATGTTAATTTGTTTCGTTCTACTATCAATTATTGGATTTTTAAAATATAATGTTCTTTTACTATCTCAAAGATAATATTAACAAATTAGTTTTTTTGCTTTACATATTTGACTTCTGTTGTTGTTGAATGAACTTTGCACTTTGTAGAAATATATATCCAATTTTTGCATTCAATATTTATAATCACATGCATGGTTTATGTATTTTTATAAATAAAACTTATATGTAATCAATATAAAAGTCATTCAAAGACTTGACTAATAAATCATATTACAATATATCATTATCCTTGATACTCTTGAGCTAGTTAAGATTTTAAAATTGTTATAAACATTTTTTCTTCATTTGATATTATTTGTTCACCATGTACAAATTGGAATACTATCCTGTTTAGTCTATATCATCAAGTATATGAGACTATCATCGTTTTGTCATAGGATTGTGATGACATCATTAACTTCTTGATTACATCAATTTGATATTGAGTTGCGAAGATCTTAAAAAAAGTTGTCAAATGAGTACAATCTATTATAAACATTATCAAGTTAAACATATGAAGAACACGTTGATATAATTAATTGTTTTAACTAAATCATGGTATTTTAAATCATAATAATTATGAACATTCATTTATAATATTCTTTTTAATTTTTTCAAATCCTTGATCTTCAATGCAAAGCTCAATATATTTTGCATCTATCATGGTAAAATTAATCATTTGTCAAAATAAATATGAACTGCATTTAAAATACTAGATTAATGAGATCAAAGATTCAATATTTAACTTTTTTATGTAGACACATGGATTATACACACTTAGTGATATATCTTTTGCTTTCATAAACTCATCAATTCTTGCATTTCATAAATGATGAAATGCAAAAATCTTGTTTTGATTCAATTCTGATTTCAAAAATCTACAAATCAATTAAATTTTATTTTTTTAAAACCAACTGGTTGTCTCGTGTAAATTTTTGTATCATTGTTTGTAAAAAAAATATGCAAATTCTCGAACTCTTTTAATGATTTTGAGACAAATCAATAATTTTACAAGATAGCAGATCTCATAACCTGTAAACCTTCATATCACTACCATATCAAGCAAAAAAACACTTTTCAGATGTATGATTATGTATATTCAAACTGTAATCTTTAGATTGGAAGAAATAAGAAGTACAAGCAAAAAATCTAAAAAATCATAAATCATAATCTTCAAAATTTGTTTTTACTTCAATCCAAAGGGTGGATAGAGTTTAGTATAAACCTTAAATTTATCAACAATGCTATGTTATGTTCAACCTAGAATTTGCATAGTCAATAAAATTGACTCGGCATACTACACATTTTCTTCAACACTAGTTGGTTGAGTATAAGTTATGACAAGTAGTCAATCAAGTTAGTTTAGCATACTCTACATCAACTTCAATATTAATTGATCAAGATTTTCAAAAATAATGTTTTGTTGCATAT